GGGCGTGATTGCCACAGAGAGCGGCGCGGCGGCGGTCAAGGTAGACGGCCGCTACGCCTTCATGGCCGCAGCGCAGTCGCTCGCGGGCGCGTCGACCGCGGGCGCCGCCGACGCGGCGTGGGACGACTAGTAGGGCGCGGGCGGAGATTTCTGCCCGCGTCCTGGGCCCCGCGGCGGCGACGACGGCGGCGGCGGCAGCAGCATGGTTGTGAGGCGCGGGCCGGCGGGGCTGCGCCCCACGCTGGCGCCAAGCCGGGCCGCGTAGGCTGCGCGGTCCGGCGCCCGCTCGGGTGACGCCGCGGCTCTCCTGATTGCCCGCTGCTGCCCGTTCGCGCGACATCTGTTGGGCAGGAATGAAGCCGGGCGCGTTGACTGCCGCGGCGCAGCCCTGGCCCTGCTTGGTCACGCGACAAAAGGGCTTGCGTGCCCTTGTCGTGTCCAGGCGTCCTCGTGCTTGCGCGTCAGCGCCCCACCGCTCCCTTCCCTATGCGAGGCGCGAGCGGGGAGCGTCAGCCCTCTCACACTGTGTGAAGCGCCGGCTTTGCCCCCTAGGGCTCATCCCCTCTGCCCGGGAGGCGCCCATCGCCCCCACAAGGGATGGGACCTTCGCCCACAGGCCAGCGGCGGCGCGCGGGCGCACAGCAGAAGCGGGGGAGCGCCTGCAAAGCTTCAGACTTGTGTGTTTGTTTGATTTTTGTTTGTGTGGATGCTGCGTTTTGAGAGCATGGACAGACAGTGTGTTTGCGGCGGCCCTCTCTGTTTTCCCAGATCCTCTTCTTCCCCCTTCGTTTCAGGCCGCGCGCAGCGGTTCTCGTCACCGGGCGTCGCCACGGCGACGGGGGGCACGCGGCTCGTGTGTACATAGTGGAGCCCATCGCAGCTGATGGGCTGGTGTAGGGCACTTGTATGGTAGCATGACGCCACAGATGCGTGAGTTGCAGGAAATTAATGAGCTTTCACGGCCGACGCACGGGCCCTGCCCTCTGGTAACCAATTCATGCCATGACCCTGCCGAACAGCAAAATTGCCTGCAGTCCACAACAGCGGTCGCGGCCACTTCCTGCCAATTTTGAACTCATGTTGGGCACATCAAGCACTCCAGCCTTGGCTGTGGGGGCGGGTCACCACGTGTCGTGTGTGAGATGAAATGAAGCGCAGCCCGCCGTCCCCCAAGGGGCGTGAAATGAGGAGCGCCTGCGTCCTTGCGTACGTCCTTTCACTGTCTGATGATAATTGCCTGGGTCTGCAACAAAACCGCTTTGGTTGACAGCGACGTACACACAAGCGGAACAGGTGGACTACAGGACAGCCTCGCACACTCAGCAGCAGCAGGAGATGGATGGCACTGCAGTTGGACAATCGCTGGCGGATGCGTCGACTACACGCATTGTAGCATCTGGTACGCAATGAGTTGCAGGCAAGTCTGATCGGACTGCTCTGGGCTGCACCTCACACGCTGTACCCAGAGCCTTGCATTTACCCAGAGGTACTGTTTGCCGAGGCGTTGGTGATGCGTGACGCCACGTAGCACGACCTGGCAACATGCGTCACGGCCTGCACTCGTTGAAACCCCACCATGGCATGGAGGGACACACAGGTGTTGTTACATTCGACCACCAAATACAGTGTGCAGCCTCATCATCAGCTCTGGCTGCAACACCGCTGAATCAGGTTGCAACGAGAGGATACGCCGCCACCAGCACCTTGCGACGAACAGGCGACACAAACGGAAGCAAGCACAAGCCCCTTGCAAGTTGCTCAAGGGTAAATCTTCAAGGTTGCACCACTCTTCTCAAGCTCACACCGCCACTTGCGGCTCCAGGTTGCACCACTCTTCTCAAGCTCACACCGCCACTCGCGGCTCCAGCTCATACCCCTCCCATTGTGACAGGGTAGAAACACCCTCCCAGGGTGAACACAGGTGACATTAACGACCCCACCATCCACATCAGTAGGGGACATGAAAAATTCACAGCAGTGAGGAGTATCACCCCTTGCCAAGTACCCCACCAAGTGCGCAGTCGGCGTTTGGGACATCCCAATCGCAAGCAACAAGCTACCAAGCACCTGCATCCTCAAACCGGGTGGTGTGATGGTGAGCAAGCAAATCCGCGTGTGCTGCGGCATCAACTCTTTGCCACAGAGTTGCAAAAGAACGAGGAATGAACCCATTATACGTACAGTAAAAGGTATCCCCAGCAATTGTACACATAAGCCACCATTTTCGGCGGAAACCACCATTCCTGGTTAAATGATCAGACACCTACATATCTACCGTACCTTACCCTTCCAACCGACTGGTTTTGTTGAATTGAGGGAAAGCCACCACTGGTGATTCTGTGAATTCAACCTCTTGTCACCAAGCCGTTGACATGTATACGCAATCCAGCCACACTCCAGTGGCTCACACCTTGAGCTCCTCCATACGCAGCTTCAGGCGCTCCTCGTGCAGCTTCTAACCCTGCAGCTTCTCAGCCGCCCTGACGAGCCCATCCAGCTGGTCCTCAATCTGGGCACGCGCCTGGCTCTGTGAGGGATGACAAACGTGTGGTTGAATGAGACTTGCGCGCATACATGCACGTGCCCCGTACATGAAATGCGTTGTGCAGGGCAAGAGGTGTCTTATGTGCAGTTGTCAAACGGGGGAGTGCACAGATATGTAGGGCAGGTGATCACGTGTTGTCCGGGTGCACAGCTTCAACGAACAGGTCTCTGGTTCCAACCACCCAGCTAGCACACAGTCGTGCAGCAGCATGGGTTGCCCCCGCACTTTGAGCGCCTGGTTGATGGGCGGCGGCGGCGTGCGCGACGGCGTAGTGAAGCACTGCGCCCGGATCATGGCCAGCTGGTGCTGCCGCTGGCGCGGCTCGCCGTGCTGGGAGTATTCTGCGCGCTGCGCCGCCAGCCGCGCGAGCTCCTGCTGATCCAGCATGTGCGCAATGGCGGACACCACGCCCTGCTTGGGCTTGGCCAGGTGAGAAGGTGCAGCACCGGCGGCGCCGCCACGGCCGCCCAGGCTCAGGGAAGCGATGGCCGGCTGGGGGCTGGCTGGAGCAGGGGCGGAGAGAGGGTTGAGCGCGCCAGTGGCTGCATCTGTGATGGTCCAGCAGCCCTTCAGGAGGGTGGGGATGAGCAGAAGGAAGTCAGGGAGATGCAGTAAAGTGTGTTGAAACAGCCACAAATGCATCGAAATCATCACCAGAGGGCCAGCAAATACAATCTGTACGTTCTGTGTGCATCGGGCGCAACGAGCCGCAATTCAACAACTGACTGGTGACTGCGTGACCATGCATGCACCCCAGCCGCTCGCTTGTACACTCTGTTCAATGGTACCCTGTCTTCACTCTCCCCTTCCCCCCACGCGTAGAAAGAAACAAGTTTGTGTTTGCAGACGGAAAACCAGTATACCTGCCATCCAACTGACCCTGTTGCTTTTGTAGTCCTGGCGCCTTATAGTCCCTCCCCCCTCAAACCCAAAATGGACATTTGCAACTCTACGTACTCGCTCACCTCGTAGTTGCGCAGGAACCCCGGCTCCCTGAGCTTGAACTCAACAGTGCCGCGCTGAGAGTCGGTCGTCATGATCAACCTGGGGCCGCCCACACAGTGCACACACGTTGTTCGGGTTTTGAAGCCAGCTCTACAAGGGCGGCAAGCTGGCGGCCACCACGGGCGGCTAGCAACCAGCATGATGGAGCCGCTGCCCAGCTGCTGGGCGAGTCGCTCGGCTGCAGAGACGCACTCGACGGGGCTGCCAAGGCTCAGCGCCGTCAAGGGCACATGCTGCACTGCGAGCCGGCAGTTCGCCTTCATAGACGTTAAAACATCCCCAACTATCCTTGCAGAGGGCGCATGCCGCGTCCCAGGGCCCAGCAGCACAAAACAAGGGCCCACCGCCCACAGATATGGCCTCGACGCCCACAAACGGGGCACCACCACGCACTTGTTGGTGCAGGTGCCGGACACCTTCCAAAACTTCCAGCGCGCCAGGTAGTCCAGGCGGTAGGTGCGGACTGGACCGACCTCGGACAGCAGCTCAGAGTCCGCACGCTGCGGGGGTTGAGGGGTGTGTGGAGTGAATTCGTTCAGGGGAGGCCCGCGGCACTGGCTGCAATACGACAGGGACTATCAGAGGTCATGATGGAAAATTGAGGCGAGGATTTCAAGGCTGGAGAGAAGCCTGGGGCGCAGGCAGGCATGTTTGGGTGATCCGGCACATGCAGGTTTCAGCAAGAGTGAGCACACAGAGGAGACACAGGCCTAAACATGCAGGCAAGAGCCCACTGAGCTATGGCCCAAACGATGCACGCACAACATGCGTGCATTTTTTCACACAGGGCTGCTCAGGGTGGGGCGCGGGTGCTGATACCTCTATGGCATCGAAGATCTTGTCGTGCTGCTGGGGGTTTGACAGGAGGTCAAACAGCACGCGCGGGCTGATGCGGTAGGTGGCCTGGGGGTAGTGGACGATGCAAGGGGGGAGTGGAGGAAAGGAGGGCGCGGCGGTCTGCGCCATGCATAAAGGTTGTAGGGACGACATTGGGAGTGCAACGTGTGGAGGAGGGGGATGACAACGGATCATGGGAGTTGCTAATGGAGGAGCGGAGGCGTGGTGTCAGGGCTGGGGAGACGCGGCTGCAGAGGAGCCCACAAGCGGAAGTGGTTTTCGACACGAGGACGAGTCCCAAGCCATGCGCGCCGTCAGCGCGGGCGTCAGCGCGGATTCAGCGCGCGGCGCGCGCACGCGGGGCGCGACGCACACTCACGCGCTCCCACGCAGCAGCAGCGTGAGCCGCGCCACCGCGTCGCGCCCGGTGGCGGCGGGCAAGCGTGTTACGACAGCGGTGCGACATTGCGTGAGGGCGCGTCCAGCGTTAATCTAGAGGGGAGCGCAGGAGCGCACCTCCACGTCGACCTGGGCCGTGGCACTGCCCTTGAGCCTCGAGCTTACGTCCCGGGACTGGCAGACCGCCGCCCTGCCGCCCGCCGGCTCGTCCCACGGCGCGCTACCGAGGGATGAGGACGAGAGCGTGCTGCTGGGCGGCGCCGCGGGGCCGGACAGGCTGCTGGCAGGGGTTGAGGGGCTGGTGTCGAACTCGGGGTCCCAGTCTGAGGAGCTGGTGGGCTCGTCGTCAGACGAGGCGAAAGGCAGCACCTCGGCGGCGTGCGAACGGAGCAGGAAGCGGCGGTCCATGGTGGGGATGGGACGCAAGACGATGCTTCTGCGGGGCAACGCGGCGTGTGCAGCGGCGCGTTGCACACGGGCATGTTCGGCGTGCGCTGTGGAGGCTACAGGCGGCGTCAGCGCCACGTCGTGATTAGTACTTGGTGGGCGTTTTGGCCCGAAACACAGAATCTATGCGCAAACGGAGCTGTCTCTATCTTGCAAACGGTGCAAGCGCGCACCTCGGAGGAGCTCGCCGGGGAACTTGGAGGCCGAAGGCCGTGCTGAGCTGCCGCCTGCACACCTGGCTGCGAGTTGAATGCATGAGACTTTTAGCGTCGCGGTTCTTGTGATACACTACGGGCAGCACAATAGTGTCCCAGATATGGGGCCGCACGGGAGTTTTGGGGTCGCACACGCAGCTCTCTGACGGGACAAGTGTGTGATGTGGCGCGCCGTCACGGCCTCACAGCCGTGCCACGATATCACCAATCCCCCCTGACGCGCATGCCTGAAGCGTTTGAATGAAACATACAAAGGAGGGCGCGGTCTGCGCTGGATGGACACCGTCGCCGCGCAAGCACTGTCGAGAATGGGCGCGCGAGCTCACGCGCCTGGTGGTTTGAAGGATGGACCCTCTTCTGAGGCCGCGAGCGCTGCAGTGCGAGGCGGCCTGGCTGTGCGGCCTCGCTCTTGCCGCTGCCGTCATGCAAACAGGTACGGCGGAGCGCAGGTCGTAATGTAGAGTTTAAGCACTCGAGACACTCTATGATTTGACACCAGATTCGACCCCCGCAAAGCTCTTGTCTGCAGTAGTTTGCCAATGTAGCGGGGGAAATATTGCTGATTATGCAGGCACGCCCCGGCTGGCAATCTGCTAGCAACGGATGGCTGGGTGGTTGAGGCAGCCCACTGTTCCAGGAACGAAGGCAACTGAGCAATGCGTGCAGCTTTATTTGCAGAGTGCGCGTCAGCACCCTGCTTCCCATCCAGGTATTATCCAGCTGTGGTGTGCCGCACAATGTGCTGTAATTGCCACCCCCCACCCCACCGCGGGCTACCGCTTGCGCCTTGCAAGCCTGAACCTGTCACAATCGCATTCTTTGGTAAACTATACACCAACCGCATGCACGAGTGTCGTTAGCCTGGCGAAGGTATCCTGGGTAGGAATATGTATCCCTATCCACACCTGCACTTGGCAGTGTTCACACTGCTGCATACCACTTTTGCCGTGTGGGTGTTTACGGTGGTGGGCTCCTTCAGTCACCACAGGATAACGCTGTGATCCTCACTGCATGCGTGCGACTTCGATGATTTCTCCTTTACTTATATTGATAAACACACAAGGCATTCCTGCACTCCGTCTTGCTATCATCAGTCCGTGCAGATGGGGCGCGCACTTCAGCACTCTCCTCGCTACCATCCAGGTGTTGACCAGACTGCTGCGGGGCAGCTGCTCAGCCAGCAGTGTCAACGAGAGACTGTGGACGCCCGCTGCGATAATTTCCAAGTTTAACGCTTCATATTGTCCTATTACTAGTAAGAAGCACCACGCAGTGCACCGTGGCGGATCTACACCTGCGTGTCTGCATGCACGTCGGGAATGCCGGTGCAAAACTTTGTATCAATTGCTGAGCCCCATTTTATCTATTTGAGCAAAACCGATTGCTTAGGCGCTTGGGCGTTCCTGTCGCCTTGTCACCAGTGCGTGCCAGGCAGTCCCTCACTCTCCGCCCCTCGCTTGGTGTGCTCTTTGTGAAGGTGAGAAACTACCGGGTTCATGGTATACGCACGTTCATCCAGTTGCACGGCGCTGTGCTGCCCGTAACGGTGGGGAGTTTGATAAACGCTGCGCTCCGCTGCGCGTTGGCCGGGAGGTCCTCTGCCCCATGCTGCTCGCTTCAATTGCGTCAATTCGACCCAACTTCACAGGCCACGGGATGGCCAGCGAGTTTGCAACAGCGGCGTCAGAGCCCCTAGACGGTGGCAGCGGAGCCAGCAGCGTCGCAGGCGACGGGCAGGACGGGCCCAGCGGCGGGATGAGGCCGGCGCCTTCCCTGACAGTCGTGCACTCGCGGAAGCTACGCCTGACAGAGAGCATAAAATACACCGCTTCAATGGAGGAGGGATGCTCTCCGTCCGGACCCTTGAAAAGGCCCGCGACTGCCAGGCCCCGCGCCACAGCGGGCACGGGTGCCAAGCCTCTGCCTAGAAGCGGCGCGCGAGGTGCGGCAGCGTTTGCCGTGTGCGCGACCCTACTGGCGGCGCTCCTCTTGATGGCTGCGCAGCGCAGCAGCAGGTGCGCACACGCCCTTGCGTAGCCACACATGGCCCGTGCTGTGTATGACGGGTTTGGCGTGCATGCCTGCGTGCGTGCGTGCAAGTATGTATGTGTGTGATGTCATCTGCGTACACGTGCCCGCATGCACGCACGATGTGAGCCTGCATGTGCTGTACCACTCTATGCATGCACGGCAGCTGAGGTCCTCCATGGATTGTAGGCGCGCGCGCTTGCCTCAAGGGAGGGCCTCCACAAATCCTTGACCATTCTCAATGCTTGCTCTCCTGATGCAAGGCTAACAGACCAGGCCGGTGGACTTGGGACCACTCCGGAACACTGGGGTACGCCTGGCGCTTTGGTGCGGGGCGCACCAGGCGCACCAGCTGCCGCCTCCAGCGCGGCACACAGCGTCCTGCGGCGCCTGATTGAGCGCGTCTCGGCCCGCGGCAACCAGACAGGTTTGCGATCGAGACGTTTTCGCGGGCCACTCCTGTTGAGCCCTCGCAAGTCGGCAGCTGCATCGTGGGCCCTGCAGGCCCGCTGCTTCAGACAGACATCAAGCATTTTTCGACCTCCCTTATCTCCGGCTGAACCATCGGCCGAGCCTTGTTGGTGGAACGATCGACATTGTTTCACAGGAGCGAGGACGAGCCTCCCGATTGACCACCCCGCCTTTGGCCGCGCCCCCGCCCCCGCAGCGCCCTGCCCTGCACTTTCCTGTGCGGGCGCGGCAGGCGGCACCTTCTGCTGCTCAGCCGACGAGACGTGCTTCGCGCAGGAGTGTTGCAGCAAGGAGCGGGAGTGCGGGAAGCGGGACGATCCCTGGTGAGAGCTGGCGCTGCAACGGCAGACATGATGCCCGCTGCGCTTTCGGGCGCAGAAGCAGGCGATTCTGCTTGTGGCGGCTTGCTGCTGCTCAAGCCAAACGCGCGACGCACAGGTCATGCAGTCTGAGGGGGCAGCCATTGTCCGGACCCTCACTGCCTCCTATTGCCGCATCTTTCTTTATCACTCCATCAGGTGCTGCAAGAAGGGCTTCGTCTGCACAAACGGCGAATGCGGCCCCGCCCTGCCCGACACGGCCACAACGGCGGCGGCGGCACCAACGGTGGCGGCGGCAGCTCCGGCGGCGGCGGCAGGGGCAGCGGCAGCAGCAGCAGCAGCAGTGGCAGCCGGCGAGGAGCGCAAGGAGCGAATGGTGGTGGGGGCCTCCGAGGCGCCCCCTGAAAACGCGAGGCTGCCGATACTCCAGGACGTGAGCCTGACCCAGCGGCAAGACAGACGTTCCAGCGGCAGCGCGTTCGGGTTCCTGGACGTCGATGCATTGGATGAACCGCCCAGCGGGCAGTGCGGCCCAGGGCAGGCGCGGGTCACGAGGTCTGGGTGGCGGCAAGAGGCGCGGCAGGGGTGCTGCAACTTGGAGTCGGTGTGTGGCGGCACGTGCTGCCCGCGGCCCGACAACGTGTGCGTCGCGGAGACGCAGACGTGCTGCAAGGCCGGGTGCGCAATGAAGGGCGCGCCCGACGGCTGCTGCCCGCCGGAGCGCAAGTGCGGCGAGGGGGTGTGCTGCCCCAAGGGCCAGTCGTGCTGGCGCGGCGCGCAGTGCGAGGACGCAACGCGGCTGCGGCTGCTTTCAGGGTGCTCTCCTGAGCAGCTGGTGGGTGCTGCCCGGGTTGCACGAGCATTACGGGTGCTTATTCATTTGGGGCGCACATTGTGGCGGCGGGTGGGCGGGCCTGGGTGGCGCTTGTACCACATCGATGAACATTTGCAGTGCAGGTGGGCAGCCGGCACGCCATCACCACCCCCGCGCCTGTCGAAGTGCAGGACGGCAGCCTTGCCAACATTGTGATGGCCTGTTGCTCATCCTCTACCCCCATGCCTCATCGCTCTCTGCGACACCGCGTCTTGCAGTGCACTGGCCCCTCTGGGCGGGATCACTGCTGCCGGCTTGGCCAGGCGTGTGTGTCGGGCGCCTGCTCCCCAGCGGCGACCCCCGATCCCGCCACGCCCCCCACCGGCGGTCTGACACAGCCTCAGTCGGCGCTGGCATAGAAGGCATGGCTGCGCAAGCTGCTTGCTGCCGCCGCTCCTGCTGCTGCTGCTGCTGCTGCTGCTGCTGCTGCTGCTGCTGCTGCTGTGGCGGCGGCTGCGGCGGCGGCGGCGGTCATGTGATGGGTGTCATATGGTCGGCCCGGTGGACACTTGCACTACAAGGCAACCAAGATACCCGGAACATGGAATATGGTGCGGCATTATTTAATGTAGGGCTCGGGGCCGTCGCATGTGTTTGTGTGTTGTACTTTGGTCACTGAGATTCCTGACAAAAACTGGGGTTTGTTTGCTGCATGCTGCATATGTTCGTCCGCCTTTCCAGCACATATTTTGCATGCCAAGCGTCCCGTGGGCGTCGCGCATACGGTACGCACCCGGAGCATCTCACTTGTATTGGTTGTCCAACCTTCACCATAACCCCATGCTAGCTAGCACCGCATACAATGCAAAGCAGCCAGCAAAATCCGTTAGTGTGCGCACTCACAGTTCGAACACATGCACAGTTATGAGTGCAATGCGCTTGCCCGCGCGCACAGCTGCCCTGGTGCATTGAAATGTTCCGTCGTGCAAACAGAGGTGCCTGCGGTCCTCGGCGGCACGTGATCAGTGCCGCCGCCTATGGTGCGGCGACGCAGCCCTGTGTAATGGTCCTCTCCAGTGCGGTGCCCTCTGCAACTTTCCTTGTTCGCATGCAGTGATGGCACCGCCGGGAAGGGATGCTGGTGAATCAGCAGCCTGGGCAGGGGCAGGGGAATCGATGGCGGCAGCCGTGGGATCGGTGGGGAGTCAAGGGCCAACCACTGCGCACCTGCGGCACTGTTGGTGTGCCAAGGGCGATGCAATTAGGACGCGAGCGATGCTCAAAGTGAAGTATGACTCACTACCAGCAGCACTGATGAGGCCAAGGCTGAGCTTGCCATCGGCCAAACCCTGGCGCCCTCGGACCATACCCGGACCCCGATGCTGCGCACTGCTCTCTGCAGCAGAGCTATCCTGTGGCACTTTGCTGTTCCCAATTTGCATTGGATCCAGAGCTCTAGCGGCCTAGGCACCTGCACAGCGTTTGGCAGGCGGCCAGGCATCCAATCCGCGCCAGGCGGGTGCGTGCAAGACAGCGACAGCACACTGCAACGGCCAAACTTGGCGTTTCAAAAACATGTGTTAGTCTCAGTTTTGGCCTCTGCAGGGCTGTTCTTGTCGCCGCGGGCCTGACTCTCGCAGTCGCAGCATCGAATCATCTAGGCGTGATAGTCACCAGCCAAGCGTGACAAGCCTCACAAAAGGGTTATCATCCTACCCGTTGCACATATTAGGTGTGCTCGGCGTCGCGTCGACCGCGGAGAGTTGATTGCTCCGAGTTGTTGGCGCAGTTGATGCCAGCGCGGCCCTTACACAAGGCACGCATCGAAAACACGCTGGTCTCATCAGCGTTGCGGCGCGGCCGCGCCGCGGGCCGCGGCGATGGCGCCGTCCATCGCCGACAGCGCCTCTGAGCGCTCCGACCCAACAACGCCTCACCAGCGGGCGGTCTTGGCAGCTGTTGGCTCGCCTCGTAGGCAGCTGGAGCTAACGCGCCTGGTACAGGCTCTGGCGGAGCTTGGCGCAGACCCACCGCCCGACGACGTGGCACCCGCGCCGCTCCTGCCGGCCCCCAAGCACCCGAAGCAGCAGCAGCAACAGCAGCGCTCCGCACACGGCGCCGCCCAGCCGCAGCAGCAGCAGCAGCCGCCGCCACAGCAGCAGCAGCAGCCCCCGCATGCCTCGGGCAGCTCCTGGACCGGCGCCGGCGGGCGCTGGCGCGTGCTGGCCGCGGCTCTGCCCAGCCCGCCCGAGGCCGAGGCGCTGTCCCTCGTCCTGAAGCGCGTGCGCGCCGTCGAGGGCCGCGTCGTGGCCAACACGCTCAGGGCGCTATCCGCGCTGCAGGCGCCGCTCGCCCCCAAGGCCTGGCGCCAGACCACCCTAGACCTGGTCGAGGCGATGCGCGCCGCGCGCTGGCACGGCCCCGCGTGCAGCGCCGCCGGCGGCGCCGCCGCTGCGCTGCCGCTGCCGGCGCCGGGCGGCGCCGCGGCCGCGCGCGAGGCGGGGGAGTTCTTGAAGGGCGCGG